AGAACTGAGAGGAAGTGCCAGCGCCTACCAGGCCGCAGGGGCCGTGGTTGGCGGAAGACTGGCATTGCATGTGCATAATGACATTCGATCTCAGAAGGGTGAGAGCAGCCCTGCATGGAGCCTGGACTAACACTCTTCTGAGAGGGGTAACCAATCAGTCATCGACTGAAAGGCACTACCCATGCTCCGTTGCCCATTGGCGTACGTGGGCGGGGCTTTCATCGAACGAACCGGTCAACTGCCAAGATGATTAACACAACACCACAACTAACTTATTTTGAACAGTTACTACCACGAATATACACGGAGGCATATAATTTTAGTAAAATTTTAGTTGCAGAACTCTGCAATTCTGAACTATGTTATAAACTTAGCCTGATACTAGGGATTACCACGAACCGTGAACTTGGCGAACCATTGTTCTGGTGTGCGCTCGACTAGATAGACTCTGAACGGGAGCAATCCACTGTATTTTATTATGAAGATAAGGGTTTCATTGGACAAATTGAAGCTGAAACTTTATTGTGAGAATTAAACCCAAGTGTGAAAAACTCTAGGCGTTTGGCGGGATTTTAACCCGCGCATCAAAAAAAGCCTTTGCCGGAGGCTAATGCTCTACCGCTAAGCTACAAACGCCCGCTTTATTGTGTTAATTTTCGAGGCAGGATCCCCGTTCGTCTTCATACGTGAGAGAATGTGCAACAAACAATTAAGCATTTTTAAAGTTTCAGAAAAATCAATATTCATCTGACGTGTACACCGATTGGCAGGATTGTCAGTTTGCGCTAGTAGGCGTTGTGTGCCTTTTTTCATTCTGCTGTGGTCGGTGGCGCACACTGAATTCGGCTTTGAGGGGACCAGAGCTAATTACCTAAGTGTAGACTAATTATCAGTAGGACGAATTTCCGTCAATTCCTTTTGTGTCGCGCGACAGTATATTTTACATACTCACTTCTAAACACCCAGTAGGGAAACTAGAAGAAAAGTCGTCTGTGCGCCGAGTCAGCAAGGATATCTGGAAAATTATTAGATGCGCAGAAAATTGATCATCGGGCTAATCCATCACGCACCTAACCTTTTCTTTGCACACTTATCAGAGCTTTTTTGAAAGGGAGAGTAAGGATCTATGAAAAAATAATACATTTACTAACAAAATTGAAAGGACGCGAGGTCTAGGAAAGAGTCGCAAAGAAGATGGAAATAAGAAAAATGGATCGAGAGCTTTATTAGCCTGATGTCTCGGATTCTATCTCGATGTGAGTTTCGTTAGCGGTCGCTGAAGGTTAATGAATGAGTGCTGACAGCTTTTGTCTTAACTAGCAAGACAACGAGTCTATGTCTCAGTGATTAGAGTATTCGAATGATGATCAAAGAACCTCTAGCTAGCGCGTTATTTTGCTGGCAGGGATTTTCGCAATTCCGTCTACGAAAGCCTTCAACTGCAATTTCACTCTGAGGTCCAGGTAAATCAGAATGCTTTTTTGGCGAACAGTGGCTAACGAAACTAGCCAACCCGTGTAGGCATGCCTCATACGAGCTGGTCGTCACTGAATTTAGCAGGCTTCTACGAGGATGGCTAGAATCTTAAAACGTCAGCGGGGATATATCGTAGCTATTTATAAAACAGGCTACTGTCTAATTATCAGTAGGACGAATGTTCGTCCATTCATTTTGTGTCGTGCGACGGTAAAAGTGAATAGAACGGTCAGATTGCGAAGACAACATTGCAATCCTGTTCTCATTATTCTGATGCGGACTTATTTGCCCTGATGGTTTTTCAATTTTCAGGAAAACATTTCTCAGCGTGTTGTGATGTCTCTCCTGACCAATGCAGCAGTTGGCTGCTCGCGCCTGCCAATAAACTGAAGCTAAGATGGAGTGCATGCAGTTGTCATAGCTTAAATAGCCTTTCTAAGCATGCTACGATAGACCATGAGAACTGCATACACACCACGCTTATCATTTCTTACCTGAACTTATAACTTTTTGGTGGTTTCACATTGTCGACAACGACCACGATAGCTCAACCGGGATTTTGAGTCCTTGTTCCCGTTATCCTGACTGGAAAGTATGTATTTTAAAACATTTTCAGGTGGTCTCCAAGCTCTCATTCGATGGACTTTCATCAAAGACTGGCCCCTCCTGTTAGACGACCTGCACGAGGATATCTGGATGAACTTTATGCATGACACAATGCTAGAGGACACCTGCATGTGCGACTGCAAGGACAATAGTGGCCTACTGACTCACGGCATCAGGCGCCGCGCTGGTTCAAAAGAAGTGGCGGCAAGACAAGTTGGCGACTGCAGAATGAGTTCAGTGGTGCTGAACAGCATCTCCGTCATGATGGTACCCGGCATGTTCGTCACCTTTCTTACACAGCTTACCGTAAGTCAGTTATTTGCTGTTAACGTCTATTCTACCTACATGTTGGGGGGGGGGGCAGTGTGGTATCTTTATTTAACGTGATACTGAGAAATGCCTTACCTGGCGATAGGCTATGATGTCCCAACTGGTACTGAGATTTGTAGATTCAATCCAGCCCTTTTCGTTCATTTCTTCTCACGCCAACAGCTGGCGGAGAAGGTGAACCCTGACAAGATCGGCATTGCCCGGCAGATTAGGTGCATAATGAAGCGCTTCACAGGAACGCAGAACTATCTGCAATTGGTCGAGAATAGGGGATTCGACGTCGAGAAAATTAGACACGAAACATCGCATCAACTTAAGCCAGTTTCAGTCCAAACTTTAGAGCTGCCGTTAGTTGGCGCTACACTCCAGCGTATATGTGGTCATAAATAGAGGAGGCATTAGTACCCTGGAGGATCAGGCTTCAGCCTCAGCGTTAACTTAAGCCAGTAGTGCCATTGCATGTGATAATATAGGTCATTTCAATTGTCCGAGCTGACTTGGAGCATGCATGACAGTAGCTAAGGCTGCTCCCCAGCTCCTTCCACATGTGGTACATTTGAATTACGAGTCTGAAACTATTACGGTTTACCTTGGCTGATAAGGTAGCCAGTTAACATAGTTACTAGACACAGCATTAGGGTAAGAGTATGGACTGGGGCCTCAAAAAGGCACTTATATATTATACCTACTTACTTACAAAATTTCAGTAGGTTGAATTTTGCATAACCGCTTACTTACGCATTTTTAGTAAGGTGAATTTCCACAATCTACCGACTTCTGCACTTTTTCGCCATTATTCTAGTTGAGGTTAGCGGTACTACTAAAAATGATCCTACATGACCTCGCCCGAAGTTAGTAAACACTCCCCCTACATACACGTGCTCGCCGTTGGTCCAGTTGGGATTAATGATGATATTAAAATGGTCTTCAATGTGCTAGCCGAGGTCAGGGCATATCCCCTAACTTAGCCTCTTAACTTTTTTAATTTACAGAATTATTGCGAACCGATTTGTTCCCTAACAGAACCCGACCATCCTATCCCCTAAAAGCGGGTTCCCGTAAGATCGAGGTGCACGCTTCAAGCGCACTCAGGCGGCCCCACAAGGAATTCCTACCAACATTAGTTCCAGGTGTCTTGCTTGTGTGCTGAACGATGAGTAAACTGGGAGTCAAAAAGTGGTGGCTTTGTTTAGTCCCCTGAGTGTTTAAGTTTGGCTATGCTACACATGTAAGCCTTCAGAAGGTCAAGTTAGGCGAACCAACGTTTTCGATTAATTCATCATCAGGCATGTACAATGATATAAAGGGAGAGTAGTGTTAGCAAAAGTTTAGGCAACCAATCGGTGATACTTAAGGGGGAGAGGAGGGAAATTTTTAAGAGAGCAAAGGGGCACGGGAGAGGAGGGATGGGTCCTACATTTGGTTCATGCCACCTGGTCATCTCATTGCCGCTTCGCGGCGTCCTGGTACCAGTTGTCACTGTCTGCTTATCGTCTCGCGGCATGATAGGAGATGTGCGGACGGATGCTATGTTAAGTTTCGGCCACGGGAGTGGTAGGGTCATTAGAAACGCCTTCTGTGCACAGAAGATGGGGTTTTGGAGGCGTATGGCGATGGCCTTTGCCGCCGTAAATC